TAGATTTCTAATTTTGAATCTTAGGGGGAGGAAACTTATGTTGTACCGATTATTTCAGTCATCGGACACCTCATTCTTGACCTTGTTCGTATTCAAGAGGTCGCGACACTTAGATATTATGTGTCCTACCTTACCGTAATGGTGACACGTTAGTATGAACCCAGGAGAAACTCTAGGCCTCAAGTTTTGAACTTTAGGGTTTGAGACAAGTACAAACTTATTTTTCGAAGAAGTAGTGTGAGAATTAGTTTCATTAAAGCCTAAACATTTTCTATCCCCAATTGTTTTATTCAAATTTATTATGTTATCAATTTCCTTATATCCGCTAGAAAAATATTGGAGTACGGTATTTGATTTTTTCAGATCATTCATAAGATATTAACTTTAACATCTAAGGACTCTTTCTCAACTCTTAACTCATTCAAACTTTTAGTGAATTCCTCAAGTTTGGTTACAAGACTCTTCTTTTCTAATTCAAGATTATTCAATTTTTGAAAGACGGAGCGATTTGCTTTTTTCCACTTAAGGCACTCCTCAAACAATTGGTCATGAGCCTCCTGAATTTCCATATCATACTTTGATCTCGAATAAAAAATTGAATTACCCATCTAGACAAATTTTTGGGTCAAGGATCGCTATTAAGCTCTGACACCACTTGAATGATTTAAATTAGCCGATTATTTAGATCCAACATGCAAAATTATACAATTAAAAGCAATAAGTCACTTTTTAATTATTTTCTAGATGATTAGATCAAAGAAGTCGATTTGTCCTAAATTTGAATACCACAATCAATAATTAAACTAGTAAAGAACACGAAAGATGATCACGGAAAAACCTAGGTAAAAACTCTGAATACTTTGTCAGTCAGTAATTCACTATAAATTGAAGCAAACTTATAATACGGTCCAGATCCGTCTACTCCGTAGAACTTCTAACCTTAATTTTTGTATTCTCCTTTAATCTTACTGGAGGTGTGCTCTTTCAAAACAAATCTCAACTCCTGGTTTATACCTTTCAGGACTGCGTGTTCCTGACGCCAGATCCCGACTCCGGTGCCTCATCTTAGTCTTCCTGAATTTGTGATTTTGCAACAATTCCCGATCCATGGTATCGATTTATCTCCGATGGATTAGGTAGTTTGGTGCTTGATCAAAAGATCTGATATGTTTTGATATGTGGTTTAATATGAAACAATATGACTAAATCAATAAAATATTTTTTGGAAGAATTAATGTATCAAGTAATATGTGGTGGTTGAATATTAAAATCAATGAATGTTTTGGATCATCAAATAATTGATCTCTATGGACTAAATCTAGGGTTGTCCATGGGTCGGTTCGGTTCGGTTCGGTTCTGAAGATACCCGAACCGACCCAAAATTTTCGGGTATTTAATAAATGGACCCGTCGGGTCCAAATATAATTATGGAACCGTTCGGGTTCGGTTCGGTTCT